CACCAGTTGATCTCCTTATCAACCTATATTTCCTATGAAAGACTGAGGTCCATTCAGTACTTAACTTTGAAATAAGAACAGGTTTATTGATTACAAGTTGTTTCAGGAATAATTCTTAAGCACATTCTTAAAGCTTTAGTAGTTTCCTTTAAACTTTTCTATCTGGTTTCTTAACTGGAGACAGGATAGGCAGTTTTTTCCCCTCCTCCAGAACATCGATGGCTGCGTTCTTCTTTGTGATCTGATTGCTCTTGATTTCATTCTCACCCACAAGCTTGCCCTCAGGTACTTTAGTTGCAATAGGTGGGGAACCACTATCACGGGTCACCTCAAGATTCCTATGCAAATTTCTTTTAGGTGAAATCTCAAGCACTTGGTTTCGGTCAGAGGTGTCAAGACTTTCATAACTTGATTCTCTCCTTTTAATTGCTAGTTTCTCCTCTTGGGGTTTGCCTTGCAAGATTTTCAGTGCCCTTGCAGCTGCATCAGGAGCCTTCCCAGTACTAGTCCTTTCAGCTTTCCAGTACAGTTGTGACTCATCTACAGGTCCTGACCATGCTAACTGCAATTCACTCCCCTCTGTGGGTCTCAGCATCCCACTACGTCCTCGGGACAGAATGCTCTTTCCTGGGCTTTTTCATCACACCAGCCCCTCTGCTTTTCATGAGCACTCCTCAAGCTTTGCCCTGCTATCTCTGAAGACTTCTGCAGACTTCTGCGTTGGCAAGAGAACAAGATCACTGGTGATGAGCATAACTTAGCTTTAGTTTTGTCATTTATGGTACCACTCGCTTGACATGTATCGCAAGCCTGACAAAACTGCTTAAATTGCTGACCCATTCTTGGCCAGTAAACGTTCCTTGCAACCCTTCGTTTGGTGCACGATATTCCCATGTGAGCTCCAAAAGCATCACTATGTGCCTTGCTTAAGATCTTGCCTCTATATTTTTAAGGCACAATCAGTTGCTTAAGGTTTCCATCTCCACCCCTCTGAGGTGCAAACAAAACTTCCCTATATAACAGATTGTTATCTATTATGTATCTCTCTGGGTATTCAGGCATTCATGAAAAGGGATTGCCCTTAGCTTTCTCAAAGCACTGCTTAAGGGTGGCATCCTCCTTCTGTTCCTTATCAAATGATGAATTATTAGGGTTTTTCATAAATATTACTTCTGCCATTTCATCCACGTCAGAGTTTTCTTTTAAACGGGGGCCTTCCAGGTTACTTTCAGAAGTTAGGGATTCCATTTCTCCCTCAGGGAAAGAATGAGGTCCATTCAGTACTTAGTTCTTAAGCACATTCTTAAAGTTACACAAAGCTTCAATATTTTTGTTTAACCTCTTGTCTTAATTAATACAGGTCACACTCTGACTAATCACTCCTTAAACATTCTCTCTGCCTCGAACCCCCAAAACTTTCTCTCTTCTCTGTCTCTGACTGAACTTCCTAGACTATGATTCACCCCTCCCTTCTAGTTTCTCTGGCTCCGCCTCCCAACAGCTCTCATTGGTACGTGCAAATACACTGCTGAATATTCATGCCAGGGGTGATCGCTACATTCAGTATTCATGATAGTTGTCTTCCTAATTTATTTATTTATTCATTTATTTATTTATTCTATTTATATCCCGCCTATCTAGTCGATTAAGACCACTCTAGGCGGCTTACAAAATTTTCCTGCTTTTGCACTTTCTTCTTTGAACTTCATATGGAATTGTTTCAAGTCATTGCTGCTTTCTTCCAGTACTGTTTTAATATAGCATATCTTAAATTAGCGATGTTTCTTCCACTGATTTTCATTCATCCTCCATACTAATCCAGCTTTCCATATGATATGTTCTGGATTCATTTTGAACAGAGAGAGAGATAAAATACACCTTTGTCTGATAGCTTTCACTGTGAGAAATACTATTGTAAATACACTATACTAAAGCAGGATAATTGAAGTTTGATATTGGTTTTACAGCATGGCCATTATTTTCTTCTTAGTCAGCCCTTCAACCTCTATCCTTATAGTCAATTTTCTACATTTTTGAAGAAAAATTATTCTGAAATGAAAAATAACTTGCTATTTTCTTTTATCAGGTCTTTAAAGAACAATTACAGAAGGTGGAGCTGAAACAAGTCTTTGATATAGTTTGCAATTGAAAAAAAAATCTTTCCAGATTTCCTCTTCTAAATTAAACTCTCCATGCTAAAGAAAGATGGCACCAGGAGGCAGGATCTTCTTCATGAAAAGGATTGAACCCTGTCCAACTCATCTTCTTTCTAAAAATATAAATGGAAAGTCTATGGAGTTCCAGCTGTCAGAATGGGGGAAAGGATGCATACATGTGTGTACATGTACATATATATAAATCAGCTGCCATGAAAAGGAGTGAGGAACCGTCTAAAATATTGGGAACAAACATTCAGTATAGATTTGGGAACCTAATGATTTACGTATAATCCGTATACATGGAATCCACAGTTCATCCATGCTTGCATTGGCCCAAATTGCTTCCCTTATTATTGGTGCCAGGCTGCATACAGCAGCTGCTTTGTAAGAGTTCCAGATAAATCCAAGGGGCATTGGGCATAATTACAGTCAGTTCTGGTTTACCTTCACCTTTTGCAAAGGAACTGCTTTACAGATCCTTCCCTTTGCTGGATCAGGTGGGGCCACTTTCAGAGCCATGAAGAATCCCGCCAGTTCTCTTCGTCCAAGTCTTTAGCTGGAGACATTTGAGCTTTTAGTATTGCAACTGGAGAGCTAAATGCTCTGTTGTGCTCCTCTGCTCACAAAATAGTTCTTTTAAAGCTAGACAGTACATTTCTAAACTTCAAATGATTGCTGTATGCTCTGGATTCTTTTCTGTTGACTCCTTTAGAACCAAGAAACTTATAATACGCCTATTACACCATCTAACATATTTGTACTAAGCTAGCAACATGTTGCTCTTATCTTTCTGATTGCAGGCTTGTATTCTTTGTACATGTCAATAAATTTAAATTCTTGCCTAACCAGACTTGTATATTCTAATAAGAAGTTCTCTTAAACTTTGCTCAGCTCACATTACTGCCTTGATACCTTCAGCCAAGTCAGTCTATGGAAGAGTGCTTTAGCTTTCGAGGATGAACCGTTGGGATGTTGAGAGCTGTCTACGAGTAAATAAACGAGATGGGGAGCAAAATTAGGCAAGATGCTGGCAGTGAGGAGCAGAAGTGTGGTGTGGTGGCAGAGAACAACTGTGTGTCCTTCAGGTGGCCACCCTGAGAGAGGCCCATAAATTCTTTACAAGAGGTATTGCCTTCTTTGCAATGGCTCCACTTTTATGGAACCAGCTTCTGGAGGTGCTCCAGCTAGCCCCCTCCCTGTGGCCTTTTACAAAGCAACTAAAGACATTGCTATTCAGGGAGGCTTTCCACACTGAACCCAGATGACCACCTTTCTCACCCCCTTTTTTCCCCATTCCCCTCCACTTCTTCCCTCCCCTCTTCTCCTCTATCCACTCTGAGATTAATCAGTGCCATCTGGTTTTGTTTGTTTTAGGGTTATTGCTATTGGTTTTCATATTTCTATTTTTATTTTGTTTTCTATTTTACAAGTTGTAACCTGTCATCTAATCTAAACAACTGATCACCAAAAAATCATTACTACTGTACGAGGCACAGAGATCAGACTTTGATGGCATTATGGAATTGGCAAAAAAAATCTATTCCCCATAGTCTGTGAGAATGGTGCCTGGTAAGTGAAATGGCTATGAAGAATCTTACCTAAAAAGTTTCAAGGGCAAGAGAATGCCGTAAGAAACATCTTTCTATACTGTCCCATGATACCTTAATTAGGGGCACCTGCCTTGTCTAATCAATTACTTTTGTCAAAAGTTACCAACTAGAAAATTTGGGGAAGAACACAACCTGATTGATGAAAAGGGTCAAAACATCTAAAGAGGTGATGGTGGGATATCAGTAGGAGCAGAAGAATGGAGCATTCAAGCTTATGTCACACTAGCTTTTACAAAGCTGTTGCTTGCTTAGCTTCATCTCTCAGAAAAATGTAATCTATGCCTGCCATTCTGATGAACTCTACATACATACTGGAACTTTGCTGCAGCTTTATTACTTTGTAAATATAGATGTTGGTTGCTAGGCTTATTATTTTCTGTCAATCTTATTCTTAACTGCCTATTCTCTGAATAAGTTTTGTTTCTATTATGGAAATGCTTCATGTCATTTTGATTCTTTTGGAAGCTTTAAATGTGCTTCTGAATATGTATGTCTTTTTAAAATACCTTCAATAAAAATAATAAACTTTTACAGCTGTGTAATCTACCAAGGGGTTGGTGGTACTTAAGGGAGGGGTACTCCATATTTTTGAGTACTTTGCAGGGTTGGTTCACAGTTACAAGCAACACAGGAAGCTTTTCCCAACCACTAGCACACTGGTTCCTCTTGGCAAAGGCAGCGAGGCTAAGTGGTCAGTGGATCCTCTCTGTGGGTGGTCAGTTTCAAGACAGATGACACAACAGTAAGACCTGAATTAAGATGCATATAATACCAAAGAAAAACTTTGATTTTTAAATATGTACAGTATATATGGCCTATCCAGGTCTTAAGCAGAGTGTCAGAAAAAAATAATTATTCCCAAACCAACCTGCCAGAATGCTCAAATAAGATATAAATTTCTCCTCCTGGTGTCCTGCTCTCTGAAGTAAAGATGGTGACAGCATGAGAAAGAATCCTTTGCAGCAGAACTATCATTGGACTACTTTTTCGAAAGAGAGGTCTATCTGGTGCTTATTTTGCTATTTATTCAATACCAAACAAAGCCCTCAGTGTTCTTCCAGACTTTTAACTTTTTTGAGCTTTCAGTTCTCATTGATTTAATCTGCTGCTTTCAATTCTGACATTTCAGCCTTTATTGCCTGTTTTTAATTTTTGTTGAGTTTATCCTGATTTCTTGTGAACCATCCAGGAAACCACTCAATGTACTAATACATGAAACAAACAAGCAGACTTGAGTTTTAGTATTTTCATTTGCATCTTCATATAACAGAAGATTAGAAATAAATTTGAACCAAAATTTGATTTTTATCTTATATACAGCAGGGAACAACCCTAATGCAGACATCCCCAGAACTATTTCTTGTTTCTTCTGAACATACACAATTAGCACAGTAAACTGGGTACAGAAAGATATTATTTCTTCTGAAGCCCAACTTCAGGAATGAAATAATTTATGCTTTGCTCACTCAGATTGTCTTAGCTTCAGATGTCAGATACCACAAAAACCAAGCTTCCACCTATTTCTTCTATGAAGACCACAGTTTACAATTCCTTCTATCATTTGATTTAGCAGAGTAGAAGAGGAAGGGAAACCTCCAGTTCTCTCATACCTTCTCTTCTCCAAGATCTCACCTCTAAGGTTCATCATACCATGCCTGTAGCTGGGGGAGCATGCATTCCTCCTAAATATAGCTGTCTACAAGCTGGCCTTTTCTCAACAGCTTCTGGGATTTCCATTATGCTCTTCCACTTCCAATCACCATCCTGTGATCTTCCAAATAAATCCAAACCTCTACAGACCCACCCCAAATATGTTGCTCATGTCCCTAATACATCCAAAAACTTAATACTGTCAGCAAACTTGAGGCTACAGCAAAGGGACAATTCAGAAGTGATCTGCTTCCAGCCCAGAAAGCACTTCCTTGCAAAGCATGTGTGTAGTGATATGTCTTACAGGCACACCTTACTGGAAGCACCGCTTCATCTATGACTATACAAAGCTATTTAATTAGTGTGATGCAGCATTCTTACCTACTGACAAAGTGATAAAAGCTCAGGGCTTTTGCATAAGAAATATATGGAAATAAAATGTCAGCAACTCTCAATGTTTGAGCCAACTACAAAAATTCTCTGTAATATAAAACTTGCAAACATGCATGCTTTCTCTTATAACAGCACTACAAATTCTTCTGTAGGATAAAGGCGCCAGAGTGACGCAGGGTTTTGATTCTTCATCTCTCATCCTAACACATCTCCCCACACTTTTTGCAGAAGTACACATTTTCAACTGCTGCTGTTAATCTGGCATGGGCTGACTGTACCACTTCTTGTCTTTAGCTGTGATTGAGCAATGTCAGCTAAAGCACTTTGTATCTTTTCCAAGAGCATATCTCCACGATAAACCACCTCTTCTAGACGGGCAGCTGCCTCATGGTTCTCTTCCTCCAAGCGATACAGACTAGCAGCCTATACATGAAAGAAAGATAATTTAGCAGCACGTTTGTGGACTTGACCTGAATATATTTTTGAGAGAGAAGACACTTAAGCACTTCTTATTTTTTTGTTCTTCTGAACATATGACAGCTGCATATTATTACATAATAAAACAACAGATGATTTCACATGCTTCCGCATGATAAACATAATTTAATCTTTGCACAGTAACACTCACAGAAAATGTTTTTGTACTCCTGAGATCCTTGCTTCCTAAAAACCTACAGCTGATTTAAGATAAGCAGATTAGAGGTTTTCATGGCACAGTACCAGCTAGGCCAGTCCTCAGTTTCCATTCTTGGACATGATCTTCAAGCACATGGCTCCTCTCAAAGCCACATTTTCTTGGATGGCACGGATTCCACAATAGATTTCAATCCTGCTTTATAGCTGACTATCATACAGAAGCCGTTTTAGAAGCTCTGTTGAAGTGTGTATACTAGGGACTGGATAGAAGGTGTGACCACTCTACTCTTGTGCACCATCTGACTGCACAATTTTTACCTCAGCATTATTAACAGAGATTGTGGACCTTCCTGGAAGGGTAGTTTCAGAAGGCAATGCTGGAATGCTATTTGACTCTTTGATTATTTGCAAATAATACTAATGCTAATAATAGTACTGTAATGATGATATCAAGTCAATACTCTCTAAAGTTTTATAGTAACTACTGTAGTGTTTAATATCTGCCTGAAACTGCTAGAGAGCTTGCTGTGGAATTTGCAGTATCAACAACATGCAGATGACACCCATTCTTTCCATTATTTTCTTCTTCATTTAGATACCCCACGAAGGTTCTTGCCTAACATATGCAGATGGCATTGGATTAAATGGGGACAATAAAGAATTTAAGGTAAAACTAGACAAGGCAGGTGTGATCCTAATCAGAACAGCTATTTTTAATAGGCTAGCACACCACTGGTGTAGAAATGATGCTAGATCTGAGTTTGAGCCTAAATGCCCATGTGATAGCATTTCCCCACATAGGTTCAGTGTACCGGCTACACTTGAGCTTAGAAAAAAAAAAAGCTGGTCCAGCTTTACTGACACATGATTAATTATTGCACTCCACATGCGAGGTTATGTGTTCTGCATGGACATACCAGCAAAGAATGATCAAAAACCTCAAGTAGAAAACCTTAAGGGGGGAGGCACTGTGTGGCCTGAATAATTAACTTGTAAATTGCTCAGAGTGTGTGGGACGGTATATAAGCAGCATGCTTTATTTGCTTTGCTTTTTCAACTCGTGCAAAACATAGGAGCCAGATTCCTGATTGGAATTAGATACTGGTAGTATGTAATTCCCCTACTGACCCAGTTTCAATCACTGTTATAAGCAGCATGCTTTTTTTTGCTTTGCTTTTTCAACTCATGCTAAACATAGGAGCCAGATTCCTGATTCCAGTTTCAATCACTGTTTCTGTCTTCAGTTTAAGGACCAAAAATTTGAATTAGAATTACTTTAGATTTTGGTATCATCTTCTCACCTGTAAGCTCATCTACCTACTAACAGATGATTAATTAAGAGCTGTGTATCCCACAGATATATATCTGCTACTTATTTAGCTGGGATTTGAGAGGACATGATCTGTAGCTGATCCAGAGTTCTGGAACTCCCTACTTAGTGAAGGTTGCTTTGCTCCTTTTCCTACAGCCTTTCACTGAAGAGTTCAGAAAAACTTCAGGTCTAGACAAAATTCCTCTGATACTTTCTAATGGAACAATTCCAAATTGTTCTATCAGAAACTGCTTTTAAAGTTTTATCTGATCTGTTTTGATTTTTCAAGTGCTTCCTGTTTAAATGTACCTGCAGTTTCTGAGTTTTTATATAGTGGTGCCCCGCTTAACGGGCACTCCGTTTAGCGACGAAACCGCATAGCGACGAACTTTTTGCGATTGCAAAAATGTTTCCTATGCGTTTTTCGCTTTGCGATGATCGGTTCCATTTCGCCTACCGATCATCGCAAAGCGATGATTTTTTAACAGCTGATCGACGGTTCCAAAATGGCCACCGGGCAAAAAAAATGGCCGCCCGCTGTGTTTTCACGCGGATTCCTCACTTTAGAGGCAGCGAAAACGGCTGCTGTATGGAGGAGCTTTGCTTTAAGGTCAGTTTTTGGCCATAGGAACGCATTAAACAGGTTTTAATGCGTTTCTATGGGCTTTTTAAAATCGCATAGTGACGAAATCGCTTAGCAGCGATTTTTGCTGCACGGATTAACATCGCTATGCTAGGCACCACTGTATATGATTGTTATGTTGCTTTATTGTTTGTGATATCATATTCTTTTCATATTTTATAGTAATGTTTTTAAAGAAAAACATATTGCTCCAAATCTGAAGTTTTGGTGTTTCTAAATTTAAGAAAATGTCTAGAAATCCAGAACAAATGTCATTAGCACTAAAATTTTCCTACAGAAACTTGCCGGTCTTCCACATCCGTCACATCAAGTGCTTCTTATCTAACGTGACTTCAATGTCAACCAAATGAATGCTTCCATGACTCTGACTTTTGATACAAACAACTGTTTACAAAAAATCCGCTTGGATTTCCTGCATTGAATGCACAGAAATCTGCAGCATAAATCTGTAATATAATCACAGATTCAGGAAACCACATTATACAGGAAATTTCTACAGTCACAAAATACACAATTAATAGAATAAGAGACCGACCTTGCTACTTTTGTGGACTTCACTTTTCGATACCTGTAACTGTTTCATATGCCAAACATTCATGCACTCAGTTCAATATTTTAACATAGTGGTTAGTTACATTGTCTTGAGGTAAACTGAAATTAATAAAGCACCCTACTAATTACAGTGTTGTTCTTTTGAAGGAACACTTTGCTACTAAGTCATGAAAATATTTTTATGAGTGCTCTGAAGTCATTTTCAAGTGTTCATGTTGCTCACATCTTCCAAAATGGACCAGAGTTGTTCTCAAAATATGTTACAGATTTAAACTGCATTCTTACCTGTAATGTGGCTGTAGATTCTTCACTAGGCAATGAATCTATTAAAACATCAATATCCTTAGCAGTTCTTGCTATTAGTGCAGCAAACAGTTGGGCATATTCTACAAAGGCAATAAAATACAATTTACATTACTTTTAACATTAATGCAGAAGAGTAAATTAGGGCTATCGTCTTTTTTGTTCCAGTAATATTTTTGAAGAAATTAGTATTAAGCGATGTCCACTGGAACCAGTAAGACTTAGTTCCCAGAAAAAAACCTCTAACATTATTCTAGACAACTACTAACAGCACTACAGTAGTTAAAATTTAAATTAGCTGTCACTAGTAACCATGCCTACACTCTTTCCCAACAACTAAGAAAATGAAAAAATAGGTAAAAGTGAAACATAAACACTTGGTTTCTGTTCCACATGCACAGATGTGCAACTGCTTGAGTTAAGTAGAAGTAAATATTTTGACAATACATTTAAGGAGACTTAAAGACAGCCAGAGGCTTTTTGAAAGGGTAGTTTAAAAACAAAGTAGCCAATTCATCATTTTGGAAGACATACAGTGGAGTCTCGACTTACGGTCGGCTCCACTTACGTACTTTTCAACTTACGGAATTCTCCGGCCGCAAAGTTTTACTTCGACTTGCGGCCAGAGAAAGGTGGGGATCTGGAAATGCCTGTGGCCTCTTTTGCTTCCCATGGAAAACTGTATAAAAAGGGACAGAATTCAGTCCCTTTTCTACCATCAAACTGTTGAGAAGTGTTTCTTGAGGACTGGAAAATATGGCATATGTAAGTATCTTATTGCCTATCTGCTTCAAATGTATGCTCTTATTTTAGTGTAGTATTGATTGTATTCTTTTGCTTGTAATCATGCCTTGATAAGAGGTTTGGACTGATGGTCCTGTAGGACCCTCCCAACCTTACTTTTCTTATGATTGGGCAGATTATTATATGCATGATAGCTCTCTCTCTCTCGCTCTCTCTCTCTCGCTCGCTCGCTCTCTCTCTCTCATAGAAAACTGTCACCAGAGAAAAGCCATTTTATGTGCCACTTCAGATGAAGTGATCACAGCCATTTCAGAAATTACTCTGAACACCTTAAAAGGAAACATTGCTCTATCCCCTCAACAGGGACAGCCACCCCTTTCCTAGCCAAACCCCTCCAACCTTGCCCCATTGGCTCACAGGAC